TATATATGTTTATTATATTTACACGCACATTCTCGCTATATATAATATGTATTCATTGCAATTATCAGCCAGTATGCGTTCTGTTTTTGCTAGCTTCGTGGATATGTACGAGGTGGCCAAGTGGAGCGAGCTGGTGCTGGTGCTGTTAGGCTGCCTCATAGTCGTCCTCTCCTTCAAGCTGCTATCCTTCCTTAACGACATACGCGCCACGAGACGCTACCTGCAGTACGTCGAAAGCTGCGTGCGCGCGTCGCTCTACCCTGTCATGGCGACGCTCGTCATCATGGCCGCCTTCACGTTCGCGTTCTTCACGCTCTTCAGCGCAAACTTCGCGCGCATGCGGCGCGTCAGTGACGTCATCCTCACGCTGCTCGCGTTCATGCTGGGCGGCTACACGCGCATGAAGGAAGACTTCGACGACAGCGCGGCGGCGAGGCTGGCGCTGAGCGCCTTCTGCGTGTCCGTCTACTTCCTCTGTTTCCTCTTCATCCGCTCAGCCGTCATCATCGCCGTCCGCGACACGCGCGTCTCGCTCAACATCTCCAACTACCTCTGCGGGGCGGCGCCGCTGCCGCTACGCTGGCGACAACTGTTCCGTATCGACGCCGACAGAGATACGACGTTGGCTGAGAAGAAAAAGAAGCCGAAGCATCCTGACCGGCGTCTGTCGGCCGTCGATCGTCAGCGCATGCGCAGCGCGCGAGAAGCGCACGCGCAGTGCGTCGTCACGTTAGAGCGCTTCGAGACGGCGCTTGATCATCTGCTTGCTTACGTCACGACGCTCGTCGAAGGCGACCATCTGCGGAGAGTGCGCATCGCGCGGGCAGTGGCAGCACAACATAGCCAGAAGTAGCGCACTCACGAACACACGTGAGCATGTGTGTGCGTGCGTGCGTGTGCGTGCGTGCGTGCATACGCCTAAGTACGTACGTATGTATTTGTTGAGTAATAGGCCTATATATAATATATATTCTACAGCGGACGTTTTTAAGGACTTTCATAATATGTATAGCTAAATGGGATTGCGTAGCGTTATTTATTGTATTTAAAGTCTATTATTGGCATCACTTGTACAACATGTAAAGAAAATATCGGCCAATATATATTGACAAATGTGTAGGTAATAAGGGCCTTACGTTGTTTTATGGGAAATGAGTAAGAAATAAAACCGAGTGATAATATTAATGTTTATATTAGATCATAGTCCGTCAGAAACCACGCAATTTCTCAGTATGTATTCAGGAATATAATATTTGTATATATATATATATATATATATATATATATCTCATTACAGTCGGGTTCATGTATACGTGTGTATATAATATTTATAGTCGGAATACATTAATTTTCAATTAAGAAAATTATTATCAATTCACTATTACTGTCTTTGTTCTGAAAAGAGTAGGCAGTTTTGAGTTTTGCAAATAAGCTCTTCATATAGCAATGTCAATCATACACAAACAAACGCACATAATCACTATCAGAAGATGGATATATTCGAAAATGATCTATATATTAGTGGGGCCACTGATCTATATATAACTATATATATATAACTGGGCTATATATATCAATATATATAGATCAGTGACTGAGTGAGTGAGACGAGCAATAATAAATGGATAATAATAATATAATAAATGGATTCTGTTCTGCGCTTGTAGATGGCGCCTATTCCATTATATTCTTCGTGTGAATGTGATTGGACGATGAGCAGTGTTTTGGTTCTGCTAGTGATTCGGAATCAGGCGGCTGCTATGATAGAGATTCAGAGGTTAATATTCGTCTTTATTGCTGTTTAATATACTATTTACGTGTATTGCGACGGTTAGAATAGCATATCACACTGGTATGACCGGTAACTTTTTTTACACCGCCCGCCGGCCTACAGTGCAGTGCATGTAATTTGTAAACAAACCGAGATTATAGAAACATGGCGCTGCGGCACGTGATACCACATAACCAATCCCAATCCGTTTCACTCTTGCGTCACACCGCTCACTTCTTCACAGTCTGTTTACGTGCGAACGAAGCTAGTCTTGTCGCATTGGGTTTCTTCCTCTCTTCATCTACTTCGTATACGTATCGTAGACATTGTGGTTTCCACATTAACAATCCAAATAGTGTAGCCATCACTACAGATGTCTAAGAGGTGTGAATATCCATAGTTTCTGTCTCGGTGCGAACCGATGCAAGATACGTAGTCGTAGACTAGCCAGGCCCATGTCAGTACTGTAACTGTACGAGTACACTGTATAGTGTACACTACCACTAGCTACTACTGCTGTGTTAGATAATTAGTCATTTCTTTACTAATACTACTACTAGGCGTAGTAATTTTATAGTAACTAGTTTCGCCGTGTTGAAAATACAACGTAATCGTTCATTATAGGGCATAAACACTTTGTTTAAGCTGAGGTAGAGATTTTGGTACAAGTAGCGTTTACACACCCATGTCGTGAGTTTGGTTAGGGTTAGGGTTAGGGTTTTTAAACCTGGGGTTGTCAAATAGGAATTGGCTGAGATTTTTCCCAGTGTCCTGATGTTAGGTAAGAGGATTGTGAACATATGGGAACCTCCATTTGGTTCATAATTTGAGAGCAGAGGCTGCAGACGACATGGACACATTTTCTTACTTGACGTTTAATAAAGGCATAATAGGCCCATCGATTATGCAATTTTAACGAATGCTAGAGTAACTGGCACCTTGTGTAGTTAATAAGTACATTACCTTATAGCCAAACGCGTATTAGTTTGTCCAATATCACTGCTGGTTACTAAGAAATGTCTAATTGAAATCCGCAGTCCACGAAATCAGTTGACTGACTTGTTTACAGTTTGTTTCGAAACCGCATTTACTTCGCCAAGCGGGTGTGATACAGATTATATAGTCCACGACATTTTCGAGCATGCCAAAACCTACAGCACGCACGGATGATTTTCGCGTCGGGGGCGTACAATGCTACGATTAGTACAGGTACCGTCACTGTATACGTAATCAGCAGCTCTGAGATTGTAATGAAAGTGGAATCCACGTACGATCACGGACGCTCGTGATAATGAAGTAGGCCTGTGTTGGGGGCCACGCTATGGGAGGATCGCCGGATAACCACGGCCACAGACTAAACATGGAAAGCAGCGGCACTACGCGTATTTGAGTATATTGGTCAACCGAATACACCTGTGTCCTGAAATTGAAGACATGTGGGTACCCCGTAGTCATTTAGCACCCACGGTTATTTACTGGTGGCCTCAATACCAGATTACACCCAGGAGATTACATTTCTACTAGCTCATTATCGTAATAAAGCATCCCCGAGACAACAAATTCTCTGCTAAACACCGCGTAAGCAACATATGACGTTGCCTAACGAATTCGAGGCTATTTTGCCTGGCAACTCAATTTAGACGTTGGGCGCCAGATCTACCAGATTTACGATTTCAATTAGACATTTTTCTTTCAGTAATTAGGCAGTGATATTTGGACAACATAATACGCGTTTGACTATAAGGTAATGTACTTATTAAAGGTCAGTTCTTTAGCTATTCGTCAACATAGTCAATGGGCCTATTATGCCTTTAACGCATTACAATGTGACCTCGGTAGGAATATAATGCAGGATGGAAAATCTATCAAATATAATAAATTATATAAAAGTCACAATTAAGCTGCAGGATAGTACAGCACATTAGATTGATCAATGATGTGTGCAGTGAGATGAAAAAGAATCCTATGCAATACTTTTGGATTGACTATGTTTTCATCAATACATGTATTATAGGCTATATGTCACAAATTCTGATGCAAAGGAATCTGCAAATGAACGTAGGAAACATTACACGTGTTCGATTGTAATAACTTGCAAATGTACCCAGACACAGGGCTCGAATTAAGCGACGAGAAGGGCAAGGCAATTTTTTTAGGGCATGTGAGAAATCGCCTTGAATTTTCTCTAAAATAGAAAGGCACCAAGGCAACTCTCAAAATTTGAGAAGGGCACCAAGGCACTTTTGTAAAATAAAAGAAAACTCATAACAAATTAGTACATCAACATCGTCTTGCTTTTAATGTACAAAACAATATGCCCCCATGTAAGCTTACACCGTAACACGTACCGACCGCTGTACCCACCTCTGTTAATGGAAGTACAGTAACAAGAAATTTTACATGCCCGCTATCAGGAGCAAATAAATATCCGATGCTGTTATTATTCCCTCCTGCGACTATCGGTTTTTATCTCATCATTTCAACTACAGCATGCACGCGCACGTGTTATGTTGATTCGACTAAAAACGAAACTAGGGCAGTAGATTAAAGGGCACCGACGGCAATTACACAAACGGGCAAGGCAGGTGACTGCCGTTGGTCGGGTTGGATTTTCAGGGGCAGTACGGCGATTGATGGGGGCACCGACGGCAATTGCCGTCGGTGCCGTCGGTTAATTCGAGCCCTGCCCAGACAAAATGGCATTTATGCTTTTTTACCCCAACAAAAATGTGGATACTGACGAAATCGAGTTGGAATTAAGTAGCAACTCAATACCCCAGTCAAAAAATGTATAATTTCTAGCTCTGAAAATAGATCAGCAGTCAACATAGAATGATCATACTGACTACATAGTAGACAAGATAAGTACAGGAATGTGCTTTCTTATGTAGATACGGGAACAACTACACACAAACACTAAGCTGCAATTATACTGATCACTAGGTGTGCGTGCGTGCGAGCGTGCGAGCTCGTGCGTGTAGTATGTGCGCACGCGTGCCTGCATATATATGCAATAAAAATTTAATAATAATAATAATAATAAAAATTGGAGAGAAACTGTTGAGCGAAATGAAAAATTATTGGATGTAGTAATGAAGAAACCACTTATATCAGCACTAGCTCATCTACAGTATGTGATGCTAAAGCTGCAGAAAGCTCATTTTCGAGGCTGGGTACTGGGAAGTCTATTATAAGTCTATTAGCCAAGGAAGTCTATTCATGTAGCTGACATTTTCTCAAGAATCCCCGTATATGTCCCAAAATGGTTGCTTGCACATTGAGCATGGGTATGTTCGTGATTGTAGGCGGTAGAGGTTGCTCTCTTGTTCAACGGACCCTGAGTGACACGTGACGAGGACGACAAGATGATGGAGGAGACTGACTTGCCGCTAGTGCAGCAGGACAACTGTGATGATCACGAAGAGGAGGATTTTGATGATATGGACCGCCCCCTTGAGCGTTGGGCACCTCTTGGAGCAGCCATGCCCGACTGGGAGGGCGAACAGAGGTTGGTATTATGGCACCACTATAGGGTGCACTAGCAGGGTGCACATATTAGTTTTGGGGCAATGCAACTGTTGATTTTGGTTTAATCAAAAATCTTATGGGACCAGGGTAAGTTGGTGCGGGCATAAGCGCAAGCTTTTTCTTCAAAGAAGGATTGTCAAGGCAAATGTTTACAACACATGTTATACAAGACAAAGAGGAATGAGTATGCAACATAGAGGCAAACCAGGTAGCAGGGTGCGTAATTAACGGGAGTCCGGAGTCAAATACTCCCTGATTTGACATATGCAGGAGTCTGTGTGACTCCCTGAAAATTCTGCCATACTAACTAGTTCGTTCCAGAGCACGGCCTCGCGGAATTACCGTATTTTTCTGCTAATGCCCCAGTCACACATACACGACGCACGGCGCACTGAAAATTAATCAAAAAATGGAAAATAGATCAGTGCGTCGTTGTGCGCCCAACTTTTGTCAGGATTTGGGAGAAGCTAGCGAGTTGACAACGAATGCACAGCGTGTTGCTAGCGCACGGAACGAATGGTCCGCGCATGCACCGCACATTCAACGCACAGCCAGCGAACGGTCAGGTCAGCGAGCGAACGGGTCAGGGATATGGTGTTGTGAGGCACCCTCCACCCATAGGACATTGAGTGATACTTGTTCCCAGAGGCAAGATGCCGCAGAGTGAGGGCAAGCTTCAGGCCAGGGTCGAGGGCATCTCTGTAAATTATATTTACAAATATATATTATTTATTATTATAATATTATTATATAATACTTATTATTATATATTATTTGTTCAAGCAGTTATATTCTGCTTGGTGATGCTCGGACCCATTCTGGTTAGCAGCTCGTCGAACATCCGCATGAAGTTCTTGAAGGCTGCCTGGTCTTCGTTACGAAGTTCAACAAGTAGCTGCCTGGTCATACAGGCCAAACCGTCGTCGCCTACCGATCCACGGTCAGACCCAGAACCTCCGTTGACCTCTTCTCTTTCTCCTTATCCTGATGACATGGACTTGGTAAAGTGCCAGTTCCATGAGGTTCTGCTGATGTTGGAGAACGGCGATTTCGTATTGTAGTCGCAGCCTGTCGGGATCCTCCATCTTCTGAGGTGGTTCTTCTAGACGCGATCAGCAGGAATCTCTGTCATCACCCATGAGAGTCGGAGGAGAAGTAATGATGAGGAGGTGGGGCGGGACCTGTTTATATACCCCATGGCTACACGCTAGGAACACACTAGAAGAATGCTGGGCGTGCTATAAACTCGTTCAGCACGCCCATATTCGCTGCATGTTCACTAGACATGGGTTAGAAGCACGCTAGGTGTGCGCTAGGTGTTCGCTACACCTCAGCCGACGAACATACAACGAATACCCATCGTGTGCTCCGCGTGGGTCTGGCGTTGGTCCAGCGCGCTCTGCGCGTGTCTGGCATCCTTCTGGCGTGTACATTCATGCGTCGAGCTCCGCGCACAATTTTGTGCATGCACAAAAATCCCGACGCGCACGAGCGAATGACAACGAATGCATAGCGTTGGTCCAGCGCGCTCGCCGAACGAGTAACGAATGCGGACGCACACCCAGCGAACGACAACGCACTGGCCAAAATTGCTAATTTTTTAGTGCGCGGGTCGTGCGTCGTGTATGTGTGACTGGGCCTTAATGTCCAAAGAAAATTTGGCAGAATCTAAAAAATAAGCACATGCGTAATTGTTAATATCTTTAATTTTGAACCTCAGACTGCGGACTCCCTTATTTTGCTGCGAACTCCCTCTTTTTGAGGGTAGGGAGTCCGTTGGACTCCCGTGTTTAAAAGATAATTTCTACCCCTGAGATAGGCTGACCACAGTGGGTTATTTCCTTGGATGTCAATTTTCAGAGGCATGATGGAATGTAAGGAGGGCAACCACAGTACTCGATATCAATGTTGTTGCGAAATTAAAACTCTGTTATAAACAAAAGTTGCTTCTCCTCCTCTTCCTCTCTCTAGTGTGTGGCTGAATACTCCCCCTTTCAGCTGTTTCCTGATGGCGAATTTCTTCGTAATTTTAACCTTATATAGAAGTTACTCTCCTCCTCACACCCTAATTCCAGTAACTAGGCAGATGGTGACACAATTTTTGTTTTGTAGTCATGTTAGTGAGCTGGACAGGTTGTGTCACCTGGAGGATGAGCAAGAGGAACTAAATCAATCGCTGCTCTCTCTGACAACACATTTCGGACAAGTCCAGTTCCGGTTAAAACAGATCATTTCTGCATCACCAGAGGAAATAGAGGTAATTTATGCAAGATGATTAGTATCGTGGGTATCCTGGCAGATAATACACCTTAATTAAATGTAGAATTGCCAACATTATAAGAATAATCCCTATTGCGATCATAGATTGTACCTAATATGACTAAAAAGAACATTAGTGATGAAAATATTACAGAATGTTAAGGATTCATGTTCTATATATATAGTGGTGTTCATACAAAGTATAACGCACTTATAACAGCAAGAAATTAATAAGGCAAAATGGAGAGAATATTAGAGAATATTACTCACGTTTTTGGCAATCTTCAGTGGAGAAAATCTGGGTTACAAAGGTAACATTTGTTCTTAATCCAGAGACTGCTGAAGGAACTTGAGGAATTTGCATTTCGGGGTTGTCCTGACACGCGCGGCATTGCTGTCATACATCCGGACCAAGACACTGTTGACATGGTTAGTAACAATAGTTTGCAGGGCACGAAATTAAGATTTTTTGCACTGGCCCAGAGGGCTGGTAACAGTAATTTTTACCAGCCCTCACCATAATTTACCAGCTTTCACAAATTTGTTTGTGAAATCCATGTCATGGTTCACGCTTGCATTCTCGATTTCAAATTTGTAAAATGTTGATAAGTTATGGCGTAATAACCTTCAGGTAAAACAGTAATGTAGACTATTTGCTATAAATAATGTAGGCTATAAATAAAAATGTAGGTACTCGCTAACGCGGCTGAAACCACCGGCTCGGAGGGCCGGTGTTTTGCCAATGTTACCGGCCCTCCAAATAATTTGCCGGCATATGTAAACGCTCACAAACACCTCATTCTTGTTCTAGAATGAAAAGGAACATGAAAGTAGGATAGCTGAGCAGAGGAAGAAACAGTTGGCACTAATAGAACAGCTTAAACAGCAGCTTCAAGATTTGGAGAACTATGCGTACCAGGTAATGTTTTTGCTACTTCATGCCTGACACCAAGTAATATCGACTACCTCATGTCCCAATAATACCAGGTATGTTTGATATCTGATGTCCTACACCAGGTAATATTTGCTACCTGGTGTATTACAGTAGGTAATGGTTGCTATCTGATGCTTCACACTAGGTAATATTTGCAACTGACATGTCTAACACCACAACTTCATACAAGTGTAAAGTATGACAATACCTGGAAAGAGTTTGTGTTTTGTAAAGGTGTGCTCAATGTCAAGCAGTTACCATGCACCTTCATTGATCACATTTACCACACTCCCCACTATGTTCTATGCAAAAGTATACACACAAAATGTTTGCCTGTGACAGGATTTGTATCTCAAGGGCTATGTCTTTTTTTATTAATTAGTGTATGATTAATCACCTTCAGACAGGAGATGCAGGCATGCCCCAGAACATGGTAATGGAGAAACAAAGAGTCATTATAGATGAGCTTAAGCAGAAGCTGAAGCTTGACATGGAAAACATGGAGCAGTTGGACACTGAACAGCTGAAACAGAAAGTCAACATGGCCGTGTCACAGGTGCATACACACATAGCTTTGTGTTATTTTTTTATTTATTTAAACAGTGTAACACCATTACGTCTGAAGATGTGTGTACAAAGTGTTGATTGTTGTCAGTAAAGTATATCATTAAAGAACGCATTTAATTAAATAACATGTTACTTATCATTATTCTATCATTTGCTGCCAGTTAAACAAAAACTTTCTGTCAACTAAAGCTAGCTATATCTGTCAAAAACTTCCATTAACTGCTAAAATATAAAAATCATTACAGTTCAAAACTATTTATGAAATTGTTCAATTAATTAGGTAAAGTTTCAGTATTATCAAATAGGTTGCAAATGTTATTATTTTTCACAGTCAAATTACAGTTAAATCTCTATATAGTGGTAACTTGAGGAAGACCCATAAAGTGTCCTTTATAGGTATGTGTCTGTCCATTCTTTAGAGGTAGTTTCATTGTATAACTGTCACTCAAGGGAAATACCAAAAGTGTTCTTTGTAGATGGCTGTTTATTATGTAGACGTGTATACTATTGCATTTTTCACTGTATAAGCAAATGCATTAACAAGTACCATTTTTATTTTGTTTTTAGATTGTCAATCCAGCAAAAGCAAAAGAACAGCTAGTCTCACAACTGAAAACACAGATTATAGACCTGGAGCGATTCATCGAATTCCTGCAAAGTACTTTAAGATATTATCCATTACGATTTTGAATTCACCTTTGGAAATTCTGTCACAATCTTATTGATCTTGCATGTTTTTCTCTATTAATGTGGTAGACTATAATCTTAAATGATGGCTAATGATAAAAAGGCTATTAGTTTGTGATATAATTTTGTAAAATACAAATAGTAAATGAATATTTTGCTCAACTTTTTGCCTTGTTACAGAAGAGGCTGAGCGTTCACAAGTAGAGTACAGATGCACCTGCCCTGCAAAGGTAAATCTGATTTAAATGCACCCCCCCATTAATCTTCACCTTAGCTATACCTAACCCCAAGATTCTTGACCCAGACTCCCCCTACCCTAACCCCAATCCTTACCCCTAATCCTAACATAAAAATAAGCTCACTGGCTGCCCTCTGACTAGAACATTTCTACCTCATTGACCAGATGACCCTAACGTGTTATGTGTGTGTATTCACTCACACCCGTGCAGTTACGTCGGTGACTGTGATGTGACGTTCTTGTGTTAATAGGGCAATGAGTCTGACGGGACGTGCTGCATGGTGCATAACCGCTCTCCGCGTCATCGCCTCGGCCGCGAGGCCGACTCTCAAAAGGTAGGGAAGAGAGAGAGAGACGAGGAGATGAGAGCGCGAGAGAGGAGGAAGAGAGAGAGAGAGAGAGACGAGAGAGGGAGGGGGAAAAAGAGCAGAGAGTGATTTTAGAAGAGAGCGATAAGAGAGAGAGAGAGAGACGAGAAAGAGAGAGTGAGCGCGAGAAAAGAGAGAGAGAAAGAAGAGAGAGATGAGAGAGATGAGAGCAGAGAGAGAGAAGAGGGTGACCATGACGAAAAGAGATCAAGAAAGACAACGGACAGAAGGAAGCCAGCAGAGACGACGAGGGCAGAGTGAGTGTGAGCGACGCGAGCCAGAGATGGAGGGAGAGACGAGAGCGTTGAAGCGGAAGACGAGCAACAAGAGAGAGAGGCAGAGAGAGAGAGAGCGAGCGAGAGAGAGAGGTTGACGAGCGCAGAGAGAGAGGAGAGAGAGCTGAGCGCGCGTAAGGAAGAGATTTAGCACAGCGAGAGAGGAAGAGAGAAGTATATGAGAGACAACGGAGGAGAGACGCGAACGCGGCCGATGGAGGGCTGCGCTCTGATTCCGTTTGCCCCTTGGAGTTTAGCATCAGAAACTCTGCCGTATCAGGTGAGTGCTGTCGCTCTGCGGCACTTGTTTTAGTATACAATTTGTGTCAACAATAAGCAATGATTATATGAATGAGAGATTGATATATTTCCATGCAGCATGTTAACGAACGCACAGCGAAGATGGTCAAAAGAATGAAGAACATACTGCAGATGCTGCTTGTCAATCAGTTTGGCTGTGCAAGCATGAACAACTTCAGGAAAAACGAGCTGAAGAAAACTACGAAAGGAAACCACTGGGGGTAATACATACAATACTGGCTATATGTCGACTCCAAATTCTGAACTCCTTAAAAACCAAATCTTCATTAAACCAGGGGATTTTTTTTGAAGTCCCACACCATCTGAGACGTGTAAGATATGCATAGGCCCTCTAGCAGTCTAGGAACCGAACTATATGCACAGTCCCGAATGTGGTCGGTATTGGGAGAGTTGACTGTATGCATATAAGAGATGCATCAATACACTAGGCTCATGATTTGATACGTATTGCGATACACAAACAGAAAGAGAGATATTGTAGTTTATAGGCTGTGATAAATTTGTCATACCATGTATGAAATAATATGGACGCATCCTATCAGTTATCGTATTGTTGGCCACTGTATCGTGATTCACTGATATATCGGTGAATCGTTACACCTAATATATATATATATTACAATATAACCTGAATAATCTAACTATATTAGCTCTGGTGTGATATATTCGATATGCGATGAAACAGTTTTAGCACTTAATTTTGATGAAAGGATACCTACTGCCCCTTTCTTCATCAATATTTATCAAATTGTATTGAAGCCTTATTCCATGGCCCATTATGACAGGTTTAACAGTAAAATGACGTGCACAAATGGACATAACATTTTGTGGGGGTCATGAAAAGTTTCCAGAAATTTTGTGGATTTAAATGCATTCCTGCAGAAATTAGAAAGCTACGAAATGACAATAATTGATCGACTTGCACAGAGCAGGGTTGTGCAGAGACTTAGTGGTGTTTGTCTTAAACGTTATATCTGTATGGTGCATATAAATGTTTGTTGTCATGGTGACAGGGACATGCGTGCACGATTGGAGCTTGCTGTTGACTATGTTATTCAGCTCACGTCTGCACAGGAACAACACGCAGACAGCGACTACACAAGTGATGACGATGTGAGAATCCTCGTTAAGCATCTCGAATAATGTATTTGTGTGTGTGTGTGCGTGAGTGTGTGACTGTGTGTGTGTGTGTGTGCGTGAGCGTGTGACTGTGTGCATGCGTGGAAATGTACATGCGTTTATGCTAGTGTATCTGTGCATGCGTGTGTGCGTGCGCTCGTGTGTGTGCGTGCGCTCGTGTGTGTGCGTGCACTCGTGTGTGTGCGTGCGCGCGTGTGTGTGTGTGTGTGTGTGCACATGTGAATGTGCTGCCTGGTCAACAGGTCACCATCTTCGTTTCAGGCGCCAGCATATGTGTGCAATGAGGCTCTGGTGTCAGCGGTGAGGAAGGACCTAGCTGGAGCCATCCGTGATCTAATGCAACATGGACTCATGGAGGTAATCATATAAATAATACTAGCATTGTATTTAAATATATTCATTGATTTATAACCAGTATTGTTTCAGTGCAGAGGACGAGAGGCATTTATACTCTGCTTTCTTTGTCCTCTGTATAAAATGCATGTGTTGTTGACCCAGTTTCAAGCGCTTTTTCATAGTCACTCTGGCGCCACAGTCATGTGCATACATATGCACCTAACCACACGCATCTACATATTGTTACATACACATGCATACATATTCATATAGATACACACATACATATACACTTACATATACATGCTGTTATGTGCAAACATGGTTGGTAATGATTGCCACAGTTTCCGTGGGTTTTACATTTATGCACCTGCTGCATCTAGATCGGACAGAGTAGAAGTCTTGTGCCATTTGTTAGCTGCGCTCATCGACCGACTGCTGAGCTGAAGGCCATGCATGCGTGGGAGTTGCTCCTCAAATATTATGAGCTGAAGGTATGAAAGTAACGACAGGCACTTGGAACATTTCACAGAGTTCTATAAACACTATAAAGTAATACTGTTAACATCTATATAGGATAGATAGAGTGTAGTTATAGAATGGTATGGTATGGTACCAGGAGTGTATAATATAGAGATGAGTATGACTCGCTCGAAACACAAGAAATTCAACATTTCCATGCCCTAATTTACCTATGATTTAGTGGTATGTATGGTATTGTTTATTGGATGGTATGGCATAGTATGGTTGTATAGGTATGTTCATGTAAATACTATGATTACTAATTCATAATTTTAGAAATGTTAAATATGAATTTCATGATGATATTACGAGTGAAGAATGTTATGTGTTTGGTTACTACTATATGTACCATACTAAAGCAATATATAGGTACCAATGTATCACTGGTGATTGAATAGGCTAACAGATAAGTTACGATGCTGCTTTCTTTCAGGATGGTCCAGAATATAATGCGACACCTGCAAGAAAGCTCTCTCAAAGTTTTGACTTGTCTGTGGTAGGTGGCACCGCCATCACATCTAAGCAGGTAAAGGAACAAGAATCGTGTACCGGGGAGAAATACACATTTTTCCGGAAATAGCCGAACGGTAGTGGGGCGCAACTTGGGGATCGCTCGGGTCCATAATACACATGTGTACACATGTATACGCATTGTGAACCCTAATCCTAACCCTAATCCTAACCTAACCCTAACCAGAAAAATAAAAAAAATAAAAAAATAAAAAATAAACAGATGGGATTCGAACCAACGACCTTTCAGATGTAACGCACGTGCTCTACGAGCTCGGCTATTCAGCATTATTGAAAATAGCATATGAAATATGCTAAATAAGCAAATACCCTGGTATGTAAAATGTGTATTTCTCCCTGGTGCAAAAATCAAGGAACAAGACATCATGTGGCATGAAAATGAAGTGAACACAGTAGTACTACAAGTTATACCCGGGTTACCAACAAATAGTTGATTCTAAATTTTCTTTTTCCAATTCGATTATTTAGAATTTGGAACATTTAATAAAAAAGATGCTTCTTAGTTCTATCTGAAAATAATGTGATTACTGAGAATCACTATATTTGGGCTAGTAACGTATTAGTGTGCCATTGCTGGTGCAAATTGTCATTTTGGTATCAAACATATTTGATGTTATAGTTATAGTATATAGTCAACAGGTAGTATTTGTCTCATCAAGGTTCTTCTGTATTTTGTTCAGTTCCAAAAAATGGTCTTGATTTATTCCATTGATGAATATTTGCTGGCAGATGCTGCTTGGAGCCATTGACAATGTCCTGGCAAGCCACATGCCCTATAAACGCAGCATGGATTCGCAATTCAAAGCATTCATTTGTGCTGCGCTCAAGTAAGTCATGTGGAATTCAGCTCTGAATTTTATGCTTCTGAGTGCAGTGTTACCACAACACACTTCTTCTGTGATGTGTGATGTCTGATCTTCTTCTGTGATGGCACCACCATCTCTGATGTGTGATGTCTGATCTTCTTCTGTGATGGCACAACCATCTCTGATGTGTGATGTCTGATCTTCTGTGATTTTCTGTCATACACAATGCACCCGTATCCTCTGCTCTACATTTACAGCTGTCACTTATGATTGAGTTTTGCGCTTTCAGTGCAAAGAAGCTGGTCGTGTGGTTGCGGTTGCTCTTCAGGACTCAGTATCTCACCAATAACTTTTACCAACCATGGAGCTATGTGACAAAAACAGGTATGTTCGTGTACTTGTGTGTGTGCATGCGCGTGTGCGTGTGTGTGTGTGTGTGCGTGCGTGCGTGCGTGCGTGCGTGCGTGCGTGCGTGCGTGCGTGCGTGCGTGCGTGTGTGTGTAATAGAGACATTACTGGACTGGGCATTGGAAAGCCTGTGTACTATTTTGCTTTTCTGACATGTTCATTGACATTAAAACAAATGATATAGAACTGTGCAGGGTTAACCTTTATCTATTACTACTATCTATTAAGTGTATACATAGTGGTTGCATTTTGACAGGGTTTGAGGATGCCTTCAGATTATTGCAGAAACTATCCACCATTGACTTCAATCTGCCAACAGACCTTGCAGTCCGCCAATTCCAAAACATCAAACACGCCTTCTAAACTGCTTGAGGATTAGGAGAGAATGAGTAGAGGAGGTTCATGCAGCTTCTGGTGCTGTGTGGTTTCCAGCCTCAACACTGATGAGCTGTCAAATGATGACTAGCAAAGTAGCAATATGAATATTTGCATCCAGCGTCTCCCATACCATGCGGTATTAATCCCAGCGATTAGCGTAGAATAGTTCATGTATGAAAACGTGACTGCACATTGAAATCGGCGTATACTGCTTCGTTACCATTACAGGGAGTTCCATGTACAGGGAGTTCCTGTACAACACGTTTTGTAGTGTAGTAGTGCTAGAGTTAAGCAAGATCGGATTAAGTTGAAATATTGTCTAGAATGGCACACCATTGCAGTCAAATCAAAATAGTATTGAGAGGTAGAGCCGCAGGCATATCAAGTGTGGGATAGTAATTTATTAATCCTTGGGTGTTTTGGTGTCTGCGTACATACACGCATATGCGCATGTTTGCATGTGTGTGCATGTATGCATGCACTTGCATAAGAGCAAGCGTGAGTACTCGAGTACTTGTTATTATTACACCAATATGGTACGTTAGGATATGTGACCTAAAACAGCACAAATATTAAGAAGTCATTGCCTAGTAAATATGAGGCAATTACAAACATTACCGGTAGATTGATGTTAAGATTCTTAACATATGGAACATTCCAGCAGGAATATCTAATAAACAGGCGTGTGATTCGAACAAAACATTCAACATCTACCAGCCCACTTTTGCCCACGATTAATATAAAATCATGGCTAGATAAAAAAAAATATGCCTCAAGGTTTGCATAGTACATTGAAACAGAGTGATGACTATAACCGGGTTTCATATCTTTGAAGATTAAGCAGTAAATTCAGCAGGAAGATCAAGGTAACAGTAGAATTTTCCAATGCAATATTATACGTTCATAACGCTTACAATTTTTTCATCAAAGATAAGGAATCCAGGAATAGTAGTTGCTCTATTTAATTGTACTAGGCACACTTGAAGGTATATTTTATTTATGTACACTTGATAAATTGTGAAAAAATACGGTCTGGAACATGTTGATTTTTTGGTTTTTATTGTGTAATGCTCCTGTGTTTAATTGTTAGGTATTCCTGCTACCATTATGTGCATAACTACATTTTTATGTGTTAATGCTAATGTGGAAATTGGGGTTATGTAAAGTATTTTTGGCCAGATGTGCAATATTGTGAATGTAAGAGAATCAACTAATAGCAGTGGTGAAATATCATTATATTTTCTCCCTATATATAGCACGAAAGAGTAGGTGCGATGTATGTGTGACACTGAGTAAATCTTGTATGGCCTTAAGTTAATTTATTATGTTTCACTATATTTTCATATACATTATTTGCCAGTACAACAGTCATTTTGCCCAATCATTATATAATTATTTACAATATGAATATATTTACTGAAAGATTCGCTTAATTTTATTTAATTTATTCTATTAAATTGAAGTAGTTGGCAAACAATCTCGTTGCGGATAAACTGGAAAAGTGATTGGTTGCACATGTCATTTGACATGGTGATATCAAACCCTTATTGACACTTCTATTATGTATTCTCTGGAAATATACTAAACATATTTCATGAAATATTTCTGTACATTTGTTATGTCATCATCGCATACTAATTAGCACTTGCGTAGCATGGTCGCAGCTAGGGGCTAGGGTGGCAGATTAAAATGCGTCATTGCTTCATGCTTTATGCACGTGTGTAAACCACATGTACCTACCAGCGAGCACATAGCCAAAGAGATCATTCAGCCATGATTTGGTTAGTTGCTAGATAAAAGAATGTAACCCAACATTGTATCTAATTGTATCTACTCTTGTATCGAGGAGGTTTGACATTCAGACCATAGATATCTAATATATACACTGTATACATTTATACAATGTATGTACACAGGGGCACGCACGCACGCACGCGCACATACATATATATATAATTATATACAGGGACGTAACCAGACATTTTTGATGGTACGCAAAATAGCAC